ATTCCGCACCAAACCGAACGCCTCCCCCTCCGTGGCAGAACCGTAACCGCCCCGCTCCGCCGCGGCACCTCAGCCCCGCCCCCTTTCCCCTGAACTCTCCCATTCACGCGCACGTCACTTCCTGCTTTCCGCCCCGAACTCCCCCCGCTCCTCCGGGGCAGAACCGTAATCGCCCTGCTCCCCCGCGGCACCTCAGCCCCGCCCCCCTTTCCCCTGAACTCTCCTAGTCACGCGCACGTCACTTCCTGCTTTCCGCCGCGCGGCCCGAGCGCGCATGGAGGGGCGGGGCCGTTTTCGGCCGCTCCTCCCCCTCCTCTCTGTGTCCCCGCCTCCTTGTTTCTCAAATAGGTGGACGTCGCGAGAGGGGGGGGGCGGGGTGTGTTCTGGGGGCGTCCGTCCTCCTCCTCTTCCTCCTTCCCCCCCCTCCCGGTTTCAAAGATGGTCGCTATGTTTGCGCTGCTTCGGTTTCTCACCTTGATTCCGGTTCCCTGCCTGGCAGAGCCCGGAGACGTCCAGAAAGAGACGCGAGAATCCCCCCGGAGCTGATTGGGGACCCTCCTCAGGTACGTCAGGCAGAGGAGCAGGGAGGATGGCCTTTAAACCCACTCACTCCCCATCCCCGCTTCCAGCCCGATCTCTTTCCTCCTTTTTGCCCCCCAGGCCGGACGGATCCACACGAACACGCACGGATGCGCCTGCTTGCTCGTTTGGGTCTCTGGGCACCAGGCCTTGTCGCGGGATGGGCGTTTCGGGTAGGTGGGTGGGTAGGAGCGAGGAAAGCGACGACTTCTGTCAGGCTTCGTTTCGGGTTAAGGAGTTTTTAAAGGCTTCATGCTTGCTCTTTCGGCCAGTTGGCTTCTACCTGCCTAGAGCTACGCGTGAATTCACGATAGTAATAATTTGCGGAAGGGCAGAGCTGGAAGGGGCCCTGCGGGTGATCGAGTCCAGCCCTTGTGTCGGGGGCACCGTGGGGGAACCGAACTCCCAACCTCTTGTTTTGCAGCCAGAGCTGCCCAGCAGATCTCTCAACAGAAGCAACATCCCTCCGGGTGTCTCCGCCCTCACGAGCCTCTCCTAATATTCCCCCCCCCCTCAAATATCTTTTCTCTTGCTCTGCTTGATCCCTTCCATCACCACCGTGCTTCTTGCAAGTGCAAGTTAACAGATGTGGAGGGGTGAAGAGGTGGCCTTGTGTGTCTGTGCCTGACCAGATTTCATGCCTGCAGTGTTTGATTTCCTGCCTGCTGAGGAAGATTACATGTTCTTGGATTGACAAGTTTGCTCTTGTGTTTTCGATTGACTGTGGATATTAAAAATGTAAACAAAATCTGTTTCATGCATAAGCTTGCATGTTGCTTTGGCAACTTGTAGATTTGATGTGGAGGCTGTATAAAATACACACGTGTTTCTTTTTCAAAGCAGTTTAATCCTGAGATGGAAAGGACTGCTGCAAACAAAAATAGGCAATTCACAAGGCACATTGGGTTATTATTATTATTATCTTTTAAAGAGATTGGCTTTGCTGGTGTTGACAGTTAATGGTAAAAAAATACAAAAAGTTTGCTCAGGCTTTCCGTTACTGCAAGCATGATAACATGATGATTAAACAAAACCTGTCACTTAAAATTTTTGAGATGTAACACGTATACCTAGCCCTCATAATATATTTATGTTTAAGGAGAAAAGCATTGTTCAGTAATGAAAATAAATTAGACCTGTGTATTAGAGTGGAGGTTATCATCCAAAAGAGAGTTAGCAACAGATTTCAAAAATGTTTCAAATGATTTTTTAAAAAACGAAACTAGTTTGGAAAACAGAATATTTAGCTTGTGAAATTATTGCTGATGCAGAATGTGTCTGGCTTTGAAAAATACAGTGTTGCCTTGATTTACAAACTTAATCCGTATTGGAATGGTGGCTGTAAGTCGCAAGTCAAAGCACCATTTCCCATAGGAATGCATTGAAAACCAATTAATCCATTCCAGTCAAAGAAAAAAATACAAAAAAACCCCACTGCAAGTCCCATGCTGGGACTGCAAAAAAACAACAACAACACAGAAACGTAACCCCCTCAGCCCAAACCTACTCTCCAAAACCCACCCAGAACAACTTTTTAAAAAGGAAAGAGCAGCACCTTACCAGTCCAAAACATCTGTGGAGGCTTCCCAGACTGCCAAAGCACCGGCGCCCGGCCGCTTCTCCTTCCTCCTCCGGCACCGCTGCCGCGTGCCCCATCCACGGAGCCCTTCCAACCCTCACGCCTTGCCCAGGGCCTTTGGTGACCCTTACTCCTGAGTAGACCTGCACCTTCTGTGGGGCTTACTCGAGTAGACCCACGTCAGGGGTGGACAGGGAGCGGTGGCTTCCCGCAGCAATCCAGAGGCGCCCCTGCCTCTCCTTCCTCTTCCTGCGCCACAGGAGTAAAAAAGTTTCCTCACCCCCTGCTCTAATCGTTGGGGCGAAAGAGCTACAAAGAAGCAGCCTCTTCGCCACCAATTGAAGGTTTGAATTTCCCGCCTTTTCCCCCTGCCTTTTTCCATTTGCAAGTCAAAGCTCCGGCCACAAGTCAAAGCAAAATTTTGTGGCCGGACCTGTTCATAAGTCAAATTGTTTGTAGCTCAGGGAGTTTGTAAGTCAAGGCACCACTGTAATTGTTTTTTCTTTAAAACTTCAATTTTAGATGTATACTTTGAAAGAGATTTAGCAAATGCTGTAGTTCACTACAATGCAATTGTTTCTCACTTTCAACCTGTATATTCCCCATTCATCCTCTGCTACCAGGAACAAGTAGAAAGGCATCTGCTTGCATTTTCATCAAATTGTATTTTTTGTTGTTGTTGTATCTGAACTGGGAATTGAAGTTAGTTTGAACAATTATTTGTCAGAGCATGCTAGGAACATAAACCTTGGTTAGAAGTTTTGTTTTGAAAATTGAAGCAAATGTTAATGATTTTCTTTGGCTACACCAGTAAGGAGAAATGGTTTGGTTACTACCATTTAACTGTAATTTCATTTCTTTTAAACTAGAAACCATACTGTTAAGTTTTGTTTTCCAAATATGCATTTTATTTCCGTTTAGGAATAATTATATGGCTGTACACCCTCTCCTCCCCTCTTTTTTCTGATGAACCATATTATAACATTTCCAAGGTTTGTTCTGTCCTAACTGGAGGTTTAATATCTGACTAAAAACTAGGATTTGAAAATATTTTAGTTGGAGGTTAAAACTGTTTCTTATTCTAAATGTAATTGACCCCATAAGTATTATTTCATGGCATTTGAGAAAAAAGGGAAGGGAGAGTGTTGACACAACTCATTCATATGGCTTACTAAGCAACAACACTGAAAGCAGATCTTTCAGTAATCCATTTGGTCCTTAGTAAATAAAAATACAGTGGTACATTCAGAAATGACGGTAAACTTACAGATATTTCTCTGTATTACAGTGATTAGAGATACTTCTTGTGGAACGTCAAAATGAGTAGTCGTCGAAAGAGTGCGCCTCCATTGAGAATAAATGATGAGAAAAAGAAGCAGCTTTGCTGGAACATGCATGATGACCGGAAAAATGAGGTGATAGATTTAGATATAGTGGATGACGACCAACATGTTGACAGTGCAAGCTCATCTTCTGCACCATTTACTGTTATTAATGATGACACCCTAGATGAAGATTTGACTTGTAGAGGAAATAACCAAAACCTCCTGAGTTTCTCAGCAGTTACAGATGAAGCGGAAGATTCTTGCCATCTGTTGACTCCTGCATCCAGCCAGCTAAATATTGTGATACTTCCTTATTGTTCTGATCCTTCCTGGAAAACTTTGCTTGGGGAGTTCTTTGTTCAACTTATTCGTGAGCAATGTCTATCTGAGGACATCCATAAAAAGGCTTTTACCTTGATGAGAGTGGAATTCAGTGACCAGCTACGTATTTGTATTCACACACATACGAAGGAGAAGGTGGATGAGAAGGAAGAATCATTATTGAGTACTTATGAAGATGTGTCGATTGAATCTTCTTTAAGTAGTGACATCTTAGAAGATTTGATGTGGCTGCAAAAGAAAAGAGTAATTGTACTATATCAAAGACCAGGAGACTCTAAATGTTTAAAGGTAGTTGGTTTATGTGATCAATATGGCTTGCAGTGTGCTAAGAATAAGGTATTAATTTTGTACTTGGAAGTAAAACATACAGGCAGGGCCTGGCAATAGAATATTATAGTTTATCCATAATTACTTATGTGTTATTTGAGACTGATGGGTTCGGGAGAAAAAAACCAAGTTAGCATCAAAGACAATACAGTAGTTCCTGCTCTAACCTGACTTTTACTTAATGTGAGATAGCTAATTTAGTGTATTCGTGAAGGCTTTCACGGCTGGGATCTAATGGTTGTTGTGGGTTTTTCAGGCTCTTTGGCCGTGTTCTCTTCCTGGCAGAGTTCTTATTCCAGTCCTCTGAAGATGCCAGCCACAGAGACTGGCGAAACATCAAGAAGAATAATCTTCAGAACACGGCCAAAGAGCCCGAAAAACCCACAACAGCTATTTTAGTGTTTAACAATTTAAAAGTGCAACCAATCCACACATAATTGGATAGAACATGATGCTTTTCTAAACAATTAAGTGCATAGTTTGACCTAGGAGAAGCTTGAAGGGACAACCTAAGTAGTCCTAGGGAGCATACTCTCCAGTTTTCAGCCCTGCTAGGTGTGCTCCACCTCTCTTGCACACTTCACCCCTAGATGTGCATTCACCTCTGCCCCCCTGCACGCAATGTTCTTTTGCAAACAGAACCAAAGGGGTTGAACATGATTGCTGCATGGAAGAGGAAGAGTGCTGCACAAAGGGAGGCAGAGTCGTGCATGCCCGGCTTAGAGGGAACCTTGGCCCTCGGTATGATCTGCAATGTTAACAGTGAAATGTACTGCAAGGTTTTTGTAAACCTTAGAAGGTGGTCTGATGAGTTGAATGTGGAACATGTACAAGAATCTAGGGCAGTGGTCCCCATCCTTTTCTGAACCACAGACCAGTATAGCATCTTGGCTGGCGGAGTGGGCCACCCGTGCATGCATGTGGGTGGGCATACATATATATGTGGGGAGCATGTGTGCGGGGGGGGGGCAGGAGATCTGTCCCCATGGCCCGGTCCTACCAGGCCGCAGACTGGAGATCCTGGATCTAGGTGTTTGTAATGGCTGGCATCCTCATTATTTTACTGTGCCTGTTATTGTAAATATTGAAATAAATATAGTGATGAAGGGAGGTCCACTCACCTACCTGCTTGTGCAACCAGGCACATTCACAAGCGGGTTAGTGGGCCCCTCGACATCAGCACAGCCATTTCCATGATTGAGTCATGGTGGATAGCTCAGATTATGGGCCCTGTTTTTCCACTGATCATAGATACATGCATCTGGAGGGGGCCTGAAAATATATCTCTGGGTTCTAGCATTTGTGTACTTTGTAGGATATAAACTAAAAAGCTGGTGATGTCCACTAATATCCTAAACAATGTGGATTTTTTCCCACATGATCTTCTTTCCATGGTTAGGATGTGCAGATGAAATCTTTATTGGGATCTCACTTCTTTAAGAGGTTTCAATTTGACTTTCACCCTGTTTTGGTTTTGCTATACAAGTCTTTCTCCCATGAATAGTTTCTGCCATTCATGATTTCAGACTTCTGAGATGCAAAGATCTTTCCGTTTCTCTAAGATCACGGTATGCCTTAATCTTTTTAGACTATGGATTGGATTTGAATTATGGAATCACTATGTTAGTATTAGCTGGCTGGATAACTCAGTAAATTAGGTATCTGGCTGTGAGGCTGGGAGTTCAGTTCCCCACTGTGCATCCTAGAAGACCCAGCCTGTATGGCCTTGGGCAGACTGCACAGTCCCAGGATGCCCTCAGAAGAAGGAAGCAGGAAACCACTTATTAGTATTCTCCATCTAAAAAACCTTGGAAAGGGTTACCCTAAGTCAGAATTGACTTGACGACACCCAATTATTATTATTTTTGTACTATTGAATTATATCTTTAATGTCCTTTAAGTAAACATGAAAAAGAACAACAGCTTTAAAGCCTAACCAGTTTTATTTGGCATAGTCCTTTGTAGACTTAGCCATTGTAAACTTAAACAAAAGTTTAAGTCTTAAGATGGAACTGTTTATTGTTTTTCCTAAACCAACTAATTTGGCTGTCTTCCTGGAAAATGAAGTAGACAAATAACTGAAAATTGTTAGATGTTTTGGCCCAAATTCTTCATAAACAATAGCTAAAATTCTGTTGTTTAGTGTAATAAGTTACAACTAGAATAGGCCCATTGAATCACTGGGGATTTATTTACGGAACAAATCACTCTGATTGTGATTTACTACACAAAACAAGGATTTCAGCCAATAAATGTTATAAGTACAGTTATGCCATTTTCTATGAAAGGGGAATTCTAAATCCTCAACTTGAATTTGGAAGACTATAAAGAGCATTTGGATTATCTCTAAATCATCTTCTAAAAGAAAAACTCCACATAACACTTCACAGAATGTGCAGTGATGGAACGAGTAAGAGATTTGTGATTTGATGCCCATACATCTTTTATGTTTCTAATTCTATTGTATTATACTTTTCTGTTTTTTAACTGTATTGTAAGTTGCCTTGGAGTAAGGTGGTATATAAATGAAAGAGATATAGGTAAATTAATAACTTTCAGTACAGTTGTGGGGATTGATTTATTTACTGTATTTTTCCCTCCATAAGACGCACCTTTCCACAAGACGCACCAAATTTTTAGGAGAAGAAAACAGGAAAAGTGGAAAACAGGAAAAAAAATAATTTGTTTTCTTCTCCTAAAAATTGGTGAGCAAGCTTCAGAAGAGTCCATGGAGAGGGGGCGAAGTTGCCAGCTTCTGGGACTTGAGGCTTGGGAAGCTTCAGAAGAGTCCCAGAAGCTGCCGATTTCCCCTCCCCTCTGGCCCGGGGGGGGGCAGGGTGA